GCACCATATTTAGTGGAATTTTGGGTTTTACGCTGGTTTACTGCATTCCTCACCTTTATTGGATTTGGAAGAATTTTTCCTCTTATTTCTTCACTGGAAAAAGCCTTTTACTTTTTTTTTTTCACGATAAAGGATTGGACTGTTGCTTAATGAATTGTTTGGTCATCCATATATTGTTTACTCGGGGACGGAACAGGAGTCGGGGCCCGGCGACCACAGAGGCGCTGACAGGTAAGAGATCTCAGACCCTGCAGAGCCCACTATAGAGAGTCTATGGGGTGCTCTGCAGGGTCACTCTCCGCTGGGCATAACTAGCAATCACGGGGCCCCATACAAAATTTTGCTATGGGGCCCTCTGATTTCTAGTTACGCCCCTGGCTGCATTCTTTTTTTTTGTAGATATAAACCCTCAAAAGGATGGCCTTGGGTTTGCTATAGCACTGTGTGTCTTCCCTGCGCACTCCCGTCCGAAAATGTGAAAATTCCCGGGCGGCCGCAAAGCATCTTGGGGCGGGCGCATGCGCAGTTCACATTTTTGGCCGGGACGGGAGGAGATAAACAAGGTAAGTCTATGGACGCGTGCACCCGAATGCAGACACCGTGGGACAGGAAGTGCCAGCAAGCTCAGAGGAGTCAGCGCTGGATAGGAGACCCGCCGCATCGCTGGAGGGACAGATGAAAAGGACAGGAAAGAAGAAGAAGATCGGATTAAGAAACATCATTTAAGGTAAGTGCTGACATTAACATTGTCAAAGTACTGCAGCGCTGAATACTGAAAAATGGCCTGTACAGGAAGAGGGTTTAAAACCCGGGTCAGCAATTGGTTAATACATTTTTAGGATTTAACTTATGACTTTAGTGTCACTTTAAACAAGTCAATGGCAATGGAATCCATTGCCTTTTTGGAATTTCTTTTGTACACCTGTTGGCAATTAAAGTATTTTAACTGCCTCTATTGGGTTTTTTTTGTCTTTAAACAAGAGGATGTTAGCATTCAAGTAGTGACTGGCTGTACCCACTTAAAACAGTGTACTGTTGTCTTGCCTTATGGGAGTATACTGGTACAGGATATTCTTCCCAGAAGAATTAGGAACATCTACTTTACGCAGATGGCCAAAGGGTTTTTTGGCTCCAAAACATACAAAACCTAAAAACCTTTTCCTTTCTGTCACAAGATGAATTAATACAACTTTTTGCCCACACAGGAAAATATCTGACTTGTATACAGATTTTATAGATCTTAATATGGATCAATTTAGTAGAAATTAAGTTGTGTTGTTTTTGTGTGCAATAACAATGATTTTTATTGTATTTTTACTGAAAATATAGTTTGACAATTAACATTAGTGCAACAATCACATGACCTACAAAATCAATTGCACCATCTTTTTAAACTACCAGTCCTGTGCTTCCACAAAATGTATGGTTTGGAGGGCCTTTTACAAACTCCAAAAGCTGTAAAAGGGCATTGGCAACGAAAAGGTTAGGACACTCTGTAAACTATCCTCCTTACCAGTATATACCTTTTGACACTAACAACCTTAAAATGGACCTTGCACTAAAAAAAATGTCCACCTATTAATGCAGTCCATCACGTGAGTGAACTTGCAGCGGTGGCTACTTTACAACACACACAAGGAACATGGGGAACAAAAGTAACCACCCTACAGAAGGAAGGACAGTGTCAGCATGAATTCAGAGATGTCTCCTGTCCCTCTGTGGTGCCTCTTTTGGGAGTTAAGACTGATGATCCAGTGCTGCTTTCTGTGCCTGAGATGATTTGAGGATCTACAATTGAGTAATACACATATAAGATCCACTTTTATTAATAGTTAGGGTATTTGAATACATTTTTCAGATTTAACTCCTGAGTTTAGGATCACTTTAAACAAGTCAATGGCAATGGAATCCATTGCCTTTTTGGAATCTCTTTTGTACACCTGTTGGCAATTAAAATATTCTAACTGCTTCTATTGTTTATTTTGTTCTTTAAACAGGAGGTTGTTAGCATTATAGTAGTGGCTGACTGTATCCACTTAAACAGTGTACTGTTGTCTTGCCTTATGGGAGGATACTGTTACAGGACATTCTTCCCAGAAGGTTGCTATTGATGTGTGTGCTTCCTCGTGTAGCATTTACAGTGAATGGAGAGCTGGTTATGAGAACACCTCCGTGCTTCTGCCAGGGATCCTGAACTATGCAGTGCACACAGGATCTGGACTTTTATTTGAGCTCTATACTTATCATTGTCGGGCTTTTGTTTCTTCTACGTCAACTGACTGAACCTGCTGGATATGGGAAGCACGTTCCTAAAAAGTCTGCGCCAAACTTTATTCTGATATCAGCCAAATACGGCTGGTTCATTCAGGAATCACCATCCTTCTTTGTACCTATATTTGTGGTGTTATACAATCAGCGATGGGACACTCTGGGATGGAAGATGCTCTTGGTTATGTTCTGCGGACACTACTTTCAAAGGTAAGAAATAGGTAACATCAGAAATATTGTTATGTTAGTACTCTACTTTCAAAAAGTAACAAATAAGTTTCATCTGAATTATGATATCAGTTCTTTAGTTCACACCACAAGTAGGTATCGTCAGAACTATTAAATATCATTTGGTGTGTTAAAGCTGACCTTACAGGAAAATTTAAAAACTAATTAAAATTTTTGTCTAGGGTACCATCAAAAAGCAGTTATAATTATATTATCCTTCCATCCCCCAGCAGACAACGCTGGTCCTGCATTGTATTTGATGACATCAGAGTTCCTGTAACTGACGCTGTGCGGCTGTGCCAAAGAGAAGCGGCTCCGAAGGGCTGTCACAGAAAGCCTGCGGGAGCGAGGAATAAAATAAATAAGGCTTTTTTTAATATTACCCTATACAAAACAAGCATTTTACCTTCACAGTGCAGGGAAGGGGGGTAGTTTTGAATTTTCCCTGGGGGTAGTTTTCAATTTTCCCTTTAAGCTTTAGCTTTAACTACAAATTGATAACTCTCTTGAGTAGTTGTTGAATGCTAGGAATATACATAACGATAAACAATCAATGAGTTGTAGATTTGATCAAGCCATGAAACCGATTGTTTGACATACAAAATTCAGTAGTTTTGTGGACTGGTCATTCCTTTTCTATGACCAAGATTGTTTATTGATCAAACTATTTGATAAGTAAAATTCTATTAGCAAACACATTGCATTGCTACATGCATGGCCAGTATTACTCTTTCCAAGATAGATTTATTCGAAAGTGCCCAGCTCTGATGGTATATACAGTGGAGTAACCCAGCTTTGTATTCAGCAGATATTTGACGTAACTCCTCATGCCCACTAAACAATGTTTCAACTATTGTTCTGTATTACAGCACGCGTGTTTTCAAGGACAGCGTGTCTGGCTTTTAATCATTTTCATTCCCTACCAAATACTGTGAATGTGTGTTGTGCTCTAAATGAACAGAAGTCTATCAAATTAGAATAGAGGTATCTATTGTGTTATCTTTTTATTTTCTTGCTTGCTGTCCATATTAATTTACCTTATTTGTCAAAATAACACCCACAAAACATATAAGGAATAAACACTACTAAACTTAACTCAGTAAGAATATCTGTCACAGGGAAGCAGCATTGGTAGTCAGAAAATACCACATACCATTGAGAAGTTTAACCAGTAAGTGAACTTTAGGTAAACACCCCACCCTCATTATCACATTTTAAAGTCAAAAAGATCATGTCACTCATAAAGTAAACCTGTCATGTGTTTGATGACTTCCTTAATAAAATGCAAATTGCCAGGCTCTCAATGGCAGCAATATTTGCAGTAGCCTGTTTGCATGCCTGCTTTATTGTCCTGAGTCAATGGCTGAGACTAAACTAATGCCAGACAGTATGCAGTCAGATTGGATTTTCAGAACAAAATCAGCAATGGCATCCTCCATATTTCTCTCGTAACAGCTTTCCTTAAAGGAGAACTATGAGGTGAGTGCTTTCCACTCACCTCATAGTTCTAGCCGACCTGTGACAATGAGACTGTCACAGGTCGGCTCAGTAGATCGGGAGGTGAGCGAACACATAGCGGCGTTCGCTCACCTCTCGATCCTGTCACGGCTCTCTGCTGTGACAGGGGAGGGGCTGGATTCCCCCCTCCCCGCTCCGATCCGCCAGCGCTGACTGGCGGAACGGACGGGGGAGGGAGCGGGTACAGCTGGCTCTGCCTTTAGATAGGCAGAGTCAGCTGTCAGTCACGCAGCTGGGCGGATCCCGGCACAATTGTCGGGATCCGCTTCAGCTGCGGCGTCTCAGTATACCGCGAGCTACAGCTCGCAGTATACTGAGCCTAGGGTGACGGGAGGACGCTAGTTTGTGTCCTCCCGTTACCCTAACGAGAACTATGGGGAAAAGACTTAACCCCATAGTTCTCCTTTAAGTTGTTATAAAAGTGCTGCCTTACCTCTCTTTGTCTTGGTTTCAAACTCAGAATTCTGACTTTTAAACACATAATTTTGACTTTCAAACACAGAATTCTGATTTTCAAACTCAGAATTCTGACTTTTACAGGGTTATTCACAAAAGGGTGAAGAGTTTGGATAAGGCAGGAGAAGTGAGCAATCTAGGACAACATAGCTGATCTGGAAAAATTATCCAATTCAGCTCACTTTGCAGTTCAGCTATGTTCTCCTAGATTGTTCACTTCTCCTGCCTTCTCCAAACTCTTCACCCTTTTGTGAAAATCCCTGTTAAACACAGAATTCTGACTTTCAAACATCATCACCATATAATATATATTTTTGGAAAGAAATCCAATTTTCTAGCCTTGAATAAGAATGCTGCTGTGAGCTCCATCACGTTACATGTTACATGATTAGCCTAGGAAAGATGACATGTTCTCTCATGTTCTCTACTACCAGATGAATTGTGTGTTTTTAAATCATAAGAGATTGCAGAGTCTATTGTTTTTATTCAGACATACAATTTCATTTAGAAAAAAAAGGTTAGCAAGAAGCCAAGCTTTCTTATATAATAAGCAAATATGGATGCTTCCAAATACATACATAATTGCAAACTACATTATATGCCCAAAACTTTACGGATACCTGACCATCACACCTACTGTATGGTCAACAATATGTAGACACTAGGGATGTTCCAATACCGATACTAGTACTTGTACTTGTGAAAATGCCCTGATACTAAGGCCGATCGATACCAGCCCCAGGGCTCAAAATTTCAAGTCCTGAGCTACTAGCCAGGCCTTAAGAGTTACTCGCCACCAGTCGCCCCACCTGACCCCTACCGTGCCCCGCCCTTAACTCCGCCAGGTCAGTGGTGTGACACAGAGAACAGAGATCAGTAACAATGCAGAGTGCAGAGGCCAGTGGTGTGATGCAGAGTACAGAGGCCAGCAGTGTAATGCAGAAAAAACAATGTATCCTCCATGTCCCAGGTGTCCTGCTTCTCCCGTGCTGTCCTTCCAGCCAGTAGCAGCTCTGCAGTCTTCCTCCCAGCCTATGGCAGCTGAGGTGGGCGGAGGAAGCTGCAGGATCCGGTGTTCTATCGAAAGCTCCAACTCATTGAGATCTCCAACTACCTCTGGTGCTCAGAAACACTGGAGCTCTGTGCAGTGAGCTTTCGATAGAACACCGGAGTAAGGACAGCTACAGTGCGGCACTGATTCTACTCCTTCAACAGCAGCGATCGCCGTGTCAGTTCTCTCTTCTCATCAGCCGCTGCCGCTATAGAGCGGCCGAGGAGCAGCGGTATTAGGCATCATTCACACTGCTTAAAGTCATTCCCGCAGCAGCCTGTTCTTCTCTATGGGAGGACGCAGCCGTACGCTCAACTGAACTGCACATTTGCACGGGTGCGGATGTCCATACTAATACGCAGACAGGATGGATCCTATCTGCATCCGAGCACGGACACCTGCACCCGCACGGATGTGTATGGGCCAACGCTAAGCAGTGTGAATGAGGCCTTAGTGTTGCAGGGAAGCCGGGGTCTCAGATGGGCTGTAAAGGATCTCTGGTGGGCTCTGCAGGGTGTCAGGCTGAGACCACCATAGACCCTGCACATTCCAACATAGATCTTGCACTGCCCACCTGAGTCCCTGCAATCCCCACCAGAGACCCCCCC